GTCGCAGATCGTTCTCTCGGTCGTTTCTTCCCAGTACGTATGGTTGTTTCCCGCCGGCTCCTATCTACCGTCGTGTGTATCTACCTGTGCCGAAACCATTGATGGGTACGGTATTGGATCGAGATGGGAATTATGCCAGTGTTGCCACGTACTAGGTAGTACGTACACGTACGACTCGAGCTTGAGCTCCGTGAAGACATTGGCAGCCGCCTTGCACGTCTCCTGCAGCGCGATGTGTCGAGATTGTGTTTTGATGAAGGCCCTCGACACCGATCCTTACGTAGGTTAAACGCACACATCCAGCTGGGGTGAGCGCGGTCGATTGACGATGTCCCGCAAATGCAACCTCAAGCACGAAAAAGTTCATCTGGAATATATAGTCTCTGTAGAGCAGCTAATGATATCACATCATCGTTGCGATTCATCCTCCTACGGGGACATTCGGTGGATGTAGCCCTTGCGACAATCACAACCGCTAAGGTGAGCCGACGTCTTTTGCTGCCCACTCGTGCCTGCTAATACATCGCCCGGTCACTTACACCTCAGACACGCATTCTTCAGCTCTGAATGTTCTCAAATAAGTGCTACGAATGCCTGTGCGGGGGCAAAGGATGATAGAAACCATACCGGAATCTGCCCTTCACCAGGATGGATGTCCCAGAGGACCTTCTAGCCAGCCATTGGGCGGCTTTACAATGCTGCATCCAAACGGTTACGTATCGCTAGTATAGAGAGCTGAACGAGCAATCAGGAGTGGTATAATGCGCCGTGACAGAGAAGGTTGATTGAATGCGGACTGAACTCTGCTTGCGGGGATCGCCCATTCCGAGTCGAGCAAAACGAAACATTGCGAGGGAAAAGTTCTGGTGCCAACATGTAGAGACCATAGAGTAGCACAGTAGCACAAAAGGGCCCTAGTAAGTCTTGAGGCTGAATGACAGGACACCGGATGTGGTCGAACGCGAGCCAGGGCGCAGGAATGACGGGACGTCATCCAGGTATCACATAGCGAGCAGCGCAGGAGGAAGAGGTGCTGTAGAGACAATAGTGCCGCATGACCGAGAGACCGAGAAAAACAAGACAGGTCGCATATTTCGGAGGAGACTAGGCAGAGCGAGCAAGAGCATGGGACGGCGACGTGATGCGCCTATGGTGCAGTTCACTTACACGGCAGGCAAAGCGCGATGGTCCAGGCGAGGAAATTCATGCTAAATATACGGGCGACGCAACGTGCCCATAATTTAGCATGAATTTCCTCGCCTGGACCATCGCGCTTTGCCTGCCGTGAAGGGAGCAGCCGGTACAAGCGACGGGCGTCCTCTTACATTATGTCATGAGCCGATTACCTCTTGAGTGATTGGACGCCCGTATCACGTGCCGCGGCCTTAGTGGCAAGGTCATTTTCGCCAGTTTTGACCCAATCCAAAATTGCCTTTGGGGATTTGTTCCTCATCTTAAATCCTCGCAAATGACAGAACATTGGAGGGTTTCATGACTATCTGACACAGTTATGAATCGGCGCTTAATATGGCAGGTATTTTGTACAAAAAATCAAGGATACACAGGTATTCTAGAAAAGCAGAAATTCAACACAGGTTACGCACTATTCATTTTGAAAATGCACAGGTTGTACCATTTCATGGAAGACGTAGGTGATTTGGCTGTAAATTACACAGGTTGTCCCTATGACACAGGTTTAGAAAGTAAGATACACACAGGCTGAGACTGCAGCTCGCAACAATTGCACAGGTTTTGTGGTCTACACAGGTTCATCTGCAGCTTGTTGATTGTTGCAACACAGGCTGATAAGTACCTTAGTTCAAACTGATAACCCCCTCTTTATATAAGTCCTCAATTCCAACTGATAATACCGCTATTGGCAAAGGATTGAAATTATCATTTTGAATAAGTTCCACACCACCAAGTATATGTGATGACTAGCTAAAAATGGAACATGCGGAAATTGCACCACACACAACTGTTGGACTATCC